ACCTTATGGGAAAATTTGCTTCGGGGTGTGACCAAATTCAGAGGGCGGAACAGATTAACCGTATTTACATTGAACCTTATGGGAAAATTTGCTTCGGGGTGTGACCAAATTCAGAGGGCGGAACAGATTAACCGTATTTACATTGAACCTTATGGGAAAATTTACCTCGACTTGCGACCACCTCGACTTGCGATCAGTCACGGAACGGATTAAGTTCGTAAGTAGAGGTACCACTGTATACCGTTGTACTGTAAAATGTAAGGATCCTGTGGTAAAACAGCAGACAGATTTATAAAATGAGAGCCAGAAAAAGGTGTGTCTGCAGATTATTAAGTTCTGTGTGTGTTTGTGTGGGTGTATGTACATACACATACAAACTTTTGTTTTGAGAGCCTGGGGTTGTTGATAGAGTAAAATATGTAAAGGGTATGCACAAACTGTGGTTAGAGAGAAGATTTAAAAATCTCACAGAAATGGAGTAAGTCAAAACCAGAATATCTGTAAGGCTTTCTGCTACAAATCAGCTAGCAGGAGAGCCAAGGGACACATTCCAAATAGCAGCGATGTCTGTACTGCGTTGCCAGCATCTTGCTGTAGAATTGCCAGATGCGCAGGAGGAGAGATGGATTCCAGCTATTGTGCATTTTGAGTTGAGGCCTGGAAGGCCAGCACATTCTAAACAGCTGGCTTGAAACAAAGAAGAATATGGTGGCACCTTCTGCTCTCCATTGTTCTTTTCAGAGGCTCAGTGGCGTGGTGACAAAGTAGGACAGGCTTCCCCAACCTGGTGCTGGCCAGCTGCATCAGTTTTTAATGCCTATCATCTGCAGGCCAGCTGGTAATACAAACCGGAGGACTGTGAGCATTATAGTCCAACATATCATGTTAATGACAATGAAACATTCCAAAAAGCCCAATACGTATGTCTTCAGCAAGTATGAATCATCTGAATATATTATGGTCCCCATTCTTTAAGTGTCACGTGTTCATGTGTGTTAAGAAAGAATGAGGATTGTAATATATGTCAACACCACTCACTTGTAAACAATTGTCACTTAATTGTAAAGGCTTTGTAGAGGTATACTGAGTACAAAAGTGTGCTTATTATAAAATTAAACGTGTATATTTTCTCATTAGTTGCTTTCTCCTGAAGATCTAGTAAATGCTTGTAAGATGCTGGAATCACTAAAGTTACCTCTGAGGTAAGAAGTCTTCAGAACGTAATGGGGTGTGGGGGAAACCTCTCAAATGGTAGGATGGGGCTCAGTCCCTTCCTCTTCCCTGTATTTATTTATTTGTTAGATTTACATCTGGCCTTTTGTTCAGGAACTCCAGGTGGTGCACATAGAACCTTTATTTGATGGGTTCCTCAGATTCTTATATGGGGAAAAACAAGATTTAGAATTAGGAAGTGACAAAGAAAAACCAAATGCACAGGTTTTTCTCATCATATGAAAATGCACATATTATTGTCCAATGTCATTCTGATAAACTGATTTGTGAGCAGTAATTATAGCAAATGCCTACATTTCTAAAAGCATAGGCTTGAAACTTTTTCCTCCACTATATGCCTTGCTGATTTGCTTGGCTAGTTGAGGGGAAATTATCTTTCCTTTCTTTTGAGGACTCAAAAGAAATTGCAAGTAAAGCTGGCTGTGCTGCTTCCTCATGCACTTAGAAATCATACTGGACTAGAGTTTTCATCAGCTCTGTTATGTCTTTAGAAGCCCTCTGACACATGCAATTAAGTTACACAGAGTTGTTATCACTTTGTCCCCATGTGTGGAAAAAGCTTTGCCAACAGAAATCTGTTTGTCCTGTATCTAATATTCCTGAATTAAAAGTACAGGAATAAAGACAAAAAAAGTTGACAACTATGTTCCAGACGGATGGAATGGAAATACTACAGAGAGATTTGATTTGACTTCTTTGCCAAACATACAGCTATTTATCTTACTAACTGGAAATTATATGGAACCTCCCAAAAACCTTGAAGGGGCCAGGTTTAGGAAGACTGATATTTGATGGACAAATAATTATACAGTAGATCTGTTAAACATGAATAGTTTTGTAGATTTTATTTTGAAAGATAGAGAACTTAGCAGTTCACAGTACAAATATATGAGGAAAGAGATATCTGACATTTGGATTGAGATAAAAGCTTACACGTAGGGAGGTTGTAGATCAAGTAGGGTTTGCATGTCATATAGACATTATGGATACACAGTGTGGAAAGGGCATTGGAAAGATGGATAAATAGAGAACCAGCTTTGAGTTACAGGAAAGAGGAAGTGTGGAATTGAAAAGAAGAGCCTAATAGATGAGGAGGGGCTCTGGGAAAAAACCCTCACTGCTCTTCAGATCAAAGCAGGCTGCATACAATGAGGAAGGAGGAGTTTTGGGAAGGCTAATTAAAATGGCTAAAGAAAGCAAGACAAAATAGCCCATGGTAGGAAAACAGGAACTTGAGGAAACCCTGGGTGATGGAGATAGGAGAAAAGGCAGAGCAGAGAAAAAAATCTGGAGAGGGGCTCTGCCCACTTGCAAGAAAGGAGCTTACAGCACAAGTATATGGGAAGCAACTAACTTCTGTGTTAGAAGCTGTGTTCATACAATACTCGAAGACAGATCAATTAGAAACTTAGAAGCTACGTTTATGCAACATGCTAAACTTGATTAATTTTTCAGTGTATTAATGTGGAATCAGCTTATGGTTCAGTTTAAATCCAGAAGACAGGTTAATTTAGTAACCCAATTGAACATGTGTAACTGCAACCGTAGAACTGCTAGGACTTCTGCTTCTAGATCAGTGTTTCTCAACCTTGGCAGCTTGAAGACGTGGACTTCAACTCCCAGGATTCCCCAGCCAGCATGCTGGCTGGGGAATTCTGGGAATTGAAGTCCACACATCTCCAAGTTGCCATGGTTGAAAAACACTGATTAGATCCCGATATGGAGCTATTCTATTTCTTTGTGCCCTTCTAAGCGTAAAGGGGAAGTAGAGGGTACCAAAATAGGATTAGCACTAGACTGAGGTAGCCCAACTCTTTGGTGGCAGAATAGAGTTCAGATTTGCGTTTTCTTCTCTCTTGGGGATTTAGGTTACGCATATTCGACAGTGGTGTTATGGTGATTGAACTCTTGTCACATAATGAAGAAGAAATGGTGGCTTCTGCTTTAGAGACAGTATGTATTTTAAGGAAACAGTGATATTGTTGTTCCCTAACTTTGCATCTAGATGGGCTTCTTCCTATTCCTTATTATCTTTTGTTAAGCACACATCCGTTGAAACCCATGCATTTAAACCTGCCAGGAGAAAAGACATTTATCTGGTTTGGGCTCAGCATATTTAACTTTAATGGTGACAGATTCCCCCTGTATCTGCATATATTATTTCCTATCTTTATTGAAACAGGTTTCTAGTGCTGCAAATATAGACAATTTCTGCAATATTTTAACTCTTGTTTCCACTTAGACTGCTTGTCATGGAAATGCTTGTTTGGAAAGCTTTTGAATTCATTCTAAACCCCCTGTTTTTAAACATTAGTCAGAACTGTTTTTGTTTTTGTTTTACTCTTTAAAATAATAGTTGAATTTGTTAAATTAAATTGCAAAGCAGGAAAGGCCTGGTATTTGACCCAGAGTTTAGGGGCACAGGCCTGGCTTCAAAAGGTTTCCTGTTTCTGGGAGTGGGAATAAGCCGTCTGTGAAAAAGGGCACAGCTGCTTCACACATAGTGAAGACAAGCTAAACATTCATCACATTTGTTACTCCTTTTCTTCTGCTAGATCTTTCTGCTTTCATCATCACTGCTTTGGGTCACAAATGCTACTCCTTATGGGTGCTCATGTCACATCACAGCTTGCATAGGACCCCTGCAATGCTGCTTTCATCAGTCTGAACCCCTTCCCTCCCCATTGAGAGGGGAGTCAGCTCATTGACTCACCACATTCTTGGGGAAAAGGACAACAGAGAATTGTTTTCTCAGGACTCTGAGGATTTTTCAAGGCCAAACAAGGATTGTTCTCATGTAAATCCTCAGACAACTTCCATGTGGGAAAAGCCCGAAATATAAGCTTTAAAAAATGTTCCAAGTTTCCTTAATCCACAGCATGCTTTTCCTTATGACATTTGTTAGATTTATTCCATAGCACAAGCCAGTTTGCATGTCACATTAAGTCATTCAAACCATACTTAGAGATGAATCCATCTGGGAGAAGATGGGTGGCTGATAATGTATCCTTGGCTTGATAAAGCAAACACAGCATGACATATGAAAGGCAGTATTCTGACATTGCCCAGAGCAAGCCAGGTAACAAAGTTACTAATAGACCTATTTACCTATTATTAAAAACCAACAGATTGTGGTGTTTCCAATTTCTTTTGGCTGAATGGAACTAGAATCCTATGTTTGCACATCATATTAAGCTTTGCTAAGCAAGCCACTTTTGACTCGTGAGCCTTAATCATCCAGAGAAGGAATCCATTTGTCTGTTAATGGGAGTGTTTGCAAAGCCAGCCTCAGTATAATGCACAAATACAATCACAGTACTCCCTATAACATGTAAGAATCATACTTATCTTTGTGAACATGTACTCCCTAGTATCATAGTTGCCCACAGAAACATGCAATCATCTTCAAAAGGACCGCTGGATTATGGGAGTTCTCTTTGCCTTTCTCCTCATTTTATCAACCATCCCCTAGGGCTTGGGGTGGGGGAAGTCCAGCTTTTGGGTTGATTGGTTTCCCACCAGTCATCTTAGGCTTAAGACTGCAGTCATAATATGATAGCGTCTTATAACCCTAAATTCAATGGTGCTTATTCCTAGTAGATAGCTATAGAACCGGGTGGTTTATTTTGGGGAAAACCAAATGAGAACTCAAGCATTTTATTACATCTTGATGCAAAGTTTGCAGGAAAAAATGTTTGGGAGTTTAACAAGTGCTCAGAATGGTAAAACTGTTGAATCAAAGATAGTAGAAAAAAATACTTGCTGAATAATAGACTCATGGAAAAACCAACAAGACGGTAGAAAAGTATTGTAAAGTACAGAATATTTATTCAGCTCTGAACCTTTTCTTCCCCCTTAGGTCTCTGAGAAGGGATCTCTTACCGCAGAAGAGTTTGCAAAGCTTGTAGGAATGTCTGTGCTTTTAGCCAAAGAAAGGTAAACCCCTCCACATACTGTGATTTTGGTAACAGAAGCAATTATGATTATAATTCAAAAACATTTTACTCTCTTTGTAGGTTGCTGTTAGCTGAAAAGATGGGCCAACTTTGCAGAGATGATTCTGTAGAAGGCTTGCGATTCTATCCAAATTTATTTCTTACACAAAGCTGATTATTCATTTGCTCTCTTTTTCTCATATTTAAATATGTTTGCTACATGCAGTCTGAAGAAAAGAATGTCAAGATATATATCCATTTATATCATGGTTTTACTATGTTGTAATAGTAGTTTTCACTGGAGCAGAGAGGAAGAGATTAGTAGTGTGTAGAAAGAGAATAATACTAATAAAAGCTTATAGAAATCATGACACTGCAGCCATTTCAGGTCTTGAGGGCAAACTGGCCGCAATGACCTATTTAATGACTTTTTTTTCAAGAAGGAAGGAAGAAAGTGAAGTGATTTTAAAAAGCATGGGGAGGGGGAGAATTAATTGTGGGCTATTTGCAAGGCCAGACAAATCAACAAGCAGTCTTTGTTAAATGTAGTCCCTATTCCATCTTCTGCCATGGATTTGCGTCTGCAACTTGAAATCAATAAAATATTATCAGGAGGAAAATAAATTAATTCTGGGTCAGTCTAGTGCAAAACAATGTAAATAATGTAATTTACTCTGGAAATGCCCATATTTTAGGAACAAAACTTCCATGTCTACATTTGCTTGTAATTATTTTCAAAGGAAGAATGAATCTGTAACCAAAAAAAAAAAAAAAGTTTTGTGTGTGGCTTTGTCCTGGATGTTAAGACAAGGAGCATTGTGAACTCAAATTTCCTTCCTTCTATTCTTTGATTGTTGATTCCACAAAGTTTCTATTTTTGTCTTTTCTTTTGCATAGCTCTGAAGAAAGACATTCTGCCATGTGTCCTTCTAAGCCAAACAGTGTTTTATGTTTCATCTTTATATTAAAAGATAAAGATGAAACATTTGTGAGAGCACTCGTTCTTTGTCTTGGAAATGTTTGCTGGTACTGTATCAGTTTTTATATGACACAAACTCATTTGAACAAGAAGAGAACTCTTTGGTTTCACAAATGATCTATTCTTTTTTAGTAAAATTATATCCTATCAAATACCAATAATCTCATTGCCCTACCATTCAGATAAGGTCTGTTTTCCCACCAGATCCACAGTTCACACTTGGATAGCCAAGAGGGTTTTAGCATCAAGAGTGTCTAAAATACTCATTAATACCAAACCATGGTATTAAAATTGTCAGTATGGCTATTTGTATTCATAGAAATCCTTTGAATTTTTACTCTGATATAAATTAAAATTCAATTTAAATTTAAATTTGTAAAGTAAAATGCAAATACAAGGAATGTATGATTGTATTTTCAGGTGAATTCACTGAGATTTTAAAACCTAGAGAGTAACAGTCACTTTGGAATTGCAGTCTTTTTAAAGGGTGCCGTCATCTCCCATTTTCATTGTATGGTGGTCTATAATTTTGTTGTGGGGTATGGCAGCTAATTTTATATTTTCTAATTTTCACTACTTTCAAATATTAACGTGTGTGTGAGACATTCCTGCTAAGAAAGAACTCACAATATTCTTCTGTGACTACAGTTGGCAGCAATTCCTGTGGATTTCACAAATCTGTTTAAAGCAGCCAGCTTTTAGATTATAGGTGGTATGGTGTGAGGGGCGGGGGGTCTTCTGAATAAAATGTAGCTAGGTGGGCTCATTTAGGGTTTGAAAATACATTGCAGTATTAAGTTTGTTAATTGTTCACGTCTTAATTTGCAAAGAGAAGCAGTGTCTTTGTTCTTGTTTCTTTTCTTCAAGAAGAAGAAGAAGGCCAACCCTTCTCTTCCTTGTGTGATTCCTAGATTACATTGAGGGAAGGGCACTGATTATATATCCTGTTGTTGAGACTGTGTTTTTTTGTGATCTTCTTTGCACACTCTGTTAAATCAATTAAGAAACAGCCCTTGTGCCTTTTTTCTGATAATTAGAAAACTGGGAACGTCCCTTTTTCAGTTTCTCAATAAAAGCGAAGTGAAAAGTAATCCATACATAGTGGGAAGAAGATGACATATATCACCTTCTTCCATTCAACCGGGAATCTCATCACTACGTATTGTCTTTGGCTGCTGACTCCAAGGCTGCCAGGGAGTGGAATTAGCCAAGCTCCTCAGGCAGTGCAAGCTCCTCGTCTCATTCTGGGTGACAAGAGAGATGAAAAGCCCACTGAACATTCTTGTCCTCTGTTTAATTGAGCAGCATTGTTTGCCCTTATTTGGCTGAGCCCACAGTCAAAGTTCAGTTCATAAAACAGCGATGGGGAGAATGAAAGAGCAAAAACTTCCTTCTCCCTTCTCTTGCTGGTATGGTACAAATGCCATATCGGATACGTACAGAAATGTATTAAAATGGTAGCAAATCTTAATACAAGAAGAGTCCTGGTGATTCAGACCACCGGCTTACAAACTCTTGTGACCTATTCTATAGAATGATGAAGCAGATGTCTCTAGGATGCTCACCCAAAGGACAGAAACTGCTAGTAGCGCCTGTTCATGTTGCCTATCAGATAAACATATAGCTATTACAAGTAGGAGTCATTGTTTGCCTCAACCTATGTTAATTTGACTAATCCCATCTTGAAAGCACCTAAGTTGGTAACAACAACATCTGGAAACAAAATGCATAAAGGGTGTTCGGTTGTCATGTTAAGTCATAAGGGTGATTTAGTGGAGGATATGTCCATGAATGGTCTCGCTAATAAGCTAGCCATGATCTGGTTAAACTTGGTAAGTTGATGCAGGACTGGCTTAATCACACCATACAAATCCGGGGAACAGAGCCATGTTTTGATATTAATGTATTGCTTTGTTGGCTTTTTCAAGCCAGAGTCATATTTCATGTTTAGCCCAGTTGGTGGATCATTAGCTGCACATACAAACTGGGCCTTAGTTTAACTGCACTGGATGAAGAATGCTGGTTTCTGTTTGTCCTGAACTTCCCTCTGTTCAGTTTCGTTCAATAACCCTGGATTTTAGCATCGTGAGAGAAATAATTTGGTATTATTTTACTTGATGGCTCTTAAGATTTATAGCACCCATAAAACTCATCTGAATAAAATGATTTTATTAGATGGGTACATGTTGTACCTACATTTGAAAAAGTGTCATTTGCCTTAAATCTGATTTATCAAGATTTTTAAAAATCAGATGTGCTTATTTTTCATTCTGTTTGTCATGCCACTTTCATGTGGTCAGCAGCTGTTTTTGGGCTGCTTTATTCTTTTTCTTTTTTGTCAGCCTTATCATTGCCAGCAAGAGCAACTATCACACATTGTTGTGTGTGATGGTTTAAGCATTAGAAAAGGAGCCCTGTATTCAATCACCTGGCTCTTTTATTCTGTTGAGTGATTTTGAATATAATGGACACTTTATAAAAAAATATTTTTTATCCTTCAAGGATTCATATCAGTTAGGACTTTTATTTCCATTCCTTGTGACTATTCTTATCCAGAAATCTCCTGCCTTCTGTGATTTTGCACCACTTTGGACATTTTTACTGGAATGTGCTATAAGTATTCTTTAAGTAGGTAAATATGTATGTGGCAAATTGGTGTCTAAAGTAACAGTTGGAAAAAAAAAACTTAGGCTGTAATCTCAGTCTTGTTGAAATAAAAGGGAATAATATTTCTGAAGAATCAGGTATCATGGGTTATATTTGGAGGGGAATGTTAGTTTGCTATCAGTGTTCTTCAAATTCTGTTCTAACAGTCCACAGAACAGATGATTCACTGTGTTGTCACTTTTTCCCTTCATATGTAATTTTTTTCATCCTTTTTTTTGTTGTTGTCACAAAAGAATCCCTTTAAAGAGAAAAAGGCAAAGTAGATTCACACTGAAATATAAAGTAATCCCCACAGACGGGATTCACACAACACACTTGGTTAAAAAATGGTTGGCTACTTTGTGATTCCCTGGGGTAAGTAATCCATATGTTGCTGAACTACAACTCCTAGCATCCTTAGGAAGCATGACCAGTGGTGACATACAATGGAAGTTAAAGAGGAATGCCTGCATTCTTTCACTAAAGCACTAATTTTTACTTAAGGTTCTTAGGAATTCTTTAATGTAGTCTTATTAATTATTTTCTATCCTACCTTTCCTCTAGGAGCTCAAAGCACCTAGCCTGGGGAACTTCATTTTATCCCCGCAGCTGCCCTATAAGGAAATTTGGGCTGAGGGTGAACGGTGGGCCCAAAGTCAACCAGTGAGATGAGAGCTTCCATAGCCAAGGGTGGACTTGACCCCAGATCTCCCTGGTCCACACTTTAACCATGGCACCACACTGGCTCCATAGTATAATGTACTGTACTGTAGAAGCCCTCGGTTATACAGGGCAGAGCATATAGCTCAGTTAATTTGATTAAATATACC